ATCCCTCCACCCTCCCAAGCATGATGTTCCTCTCCAAGGACCTGTCCCTCCTGACAACATGTCCAAAGTATGTCAGACAAAGCCCCAGAATCCTTGCCTCCAAGGAGCAGCCTGGTTTAATCCTTGCAATCCTAAATATGCATGGATCACACAACAGAACAACAAAATGTGTAAGCAAAGACATATGACCCTAACCAAAGAGGACTTAAGTGTGGTTGTGACTTACCACATCCATTAATAAGAACTAACACCTAGTCAACTAAAATCACACATAGAATAGGATTTAAAAGCAACTGAAATAATGAAATCCTTACCTCCAAGGAGCAACCTGGTTCCATTCTCTCTAGAACATACTTGTTCTCTTGAAATGTATGTTCACTACTCTCCTCCAGTACCTCACTCAAAAGCATAGATTTTTTTCCCATCATCCCAAATTATTGTCCAGATCTCAGACAGACACATACATAGCAAGACACATACATGAGAAGACCATGGCTTGGATCAACCAACCGTACAGGAGTCTTTAGACCAACATCATTGCTCTTTAGCACTTTCAAGAGCTCCTTGACAGCAGATTTTTCCCAATGCATTACATTTTTTTTATTTCCTGACTGCTGATATAGGGGTGTTGGTTGTAGACCGACACAAGATGAAATAATTAACTTCAATGTTTTCTCCACCTATCATGATACTGCCTATAAACTCAGTGGTAAGGAGTTTTGTTATTTTTTATGTTGAGGGGTAATCCATATCAAATGCTGAAGTCCTTGATCTTCTGCAATAAATATTTCAAGTGCTCCTTATTTTCAGCAAGCAAAGTCATATGATCTGTATAATGCAGGTTGTTGACAATCTTTCTCTGATCATGGTGCCACCTTGTTCTTTATAAAGTCCAGCTTCTAGAATGATCTTTTCAGCATATAGATATTAAAAATATGGAGAAAAGATACATCCTTGACATTCCTTTTGAGTTTGAACTATGCAATGTTCCCTTAACTCCTCACACAACAACTTGTTGGTCTAAGTATAGGTTTCACATGAGCACAATCTTCTCACTCTTTTCAGCATTAGAGAACATAAGAGTGGGTTCCCATTCTTCTCAATGTAAGCTATAATATGTTGTGATCCACACAGCCAAATGCCTTTGCATAGATGATAAGACTCAAATAGACAGTCTTCTGGCATTCTCTAAATTCAGCTAAGATCTATCTGACATCAGCGATGATATCATTAGTGCCATGGCCTCTTTCAAACGTAGTTTGTATTTCTTGCAGTTCTTGATTGATATATTTACTGTTCTAGCCATTTTTTTATACTGTTCAGCAACATCCAGCTGGCATGTGATATTAATATTGTTATTCTAAAATTTCCACATTCTACTGCACCTCCTTTTTAGTCAGTTGATGAGGTAGCTGTCTTCCAGATTTCTTGGCACAACCTGATAAGCACATTCAGAGTTAATATGTCTTAATTAAAAGTGTCATCACATGGGCTAACCAGCTAAAACTCTAGAAGGGGTAGCCAACTTCTAAGACGGACCCAAATTATGCCTTCCTCCAAGAAGTACACTTCTTTTTCACACTGAGTAGGGTTAATCTGTGCAGTCAATAGGATAGTCAAGAAATGTGAATGTGTTACTTCTGTGATTAGGTCAAATAAACACATTGTGATTTCTACTTGTCTATGATCACTTTCTCTCAAATAAACCAGCTGCCATTTCATGATGACATGAAAGCAGTTTTAGAAAGAGGTATATGTAACCATAAACTGATGTCCCTATCAATAAGCAACATTAACTTGCCAGACATTTAAATAAGCCACCTGGGAATCAATTCTCTATCCCCAGCCAAACCTTCCAAAGATTGTTGATTCTGGCTGAGGTCCCCTCTAAACCCTTGTGAGAAACCTTGAACCATGGCTGTCTACTTACAAATTCCTGACTTCCTAAACTCTAAGACATTTTTATTGTTATTTTTTTTATTTTAAGCTGCTAAGTTCTAAGGTAATTTGTTGGCATACTTTGGATGATAGATGAAAGAATTAAAGAACCTGGAAAATAGGTCAATAGTCTTGAGAAAATAACTGATTCTAGAATTGGGGAAACTGAGGAGGACCTCATGCACTTGCTGCGAAGGGTCAAGGACTGCAGCCTTCAGTATGGACTGGGGCTCAACGTCAAGAAGACAAAGATTCTCGCCACTGGACCAATTGGCAGCGTCAGGATGGATGATGAAGAGATTGAGAGTGTTCACAGCTTCACTTTGCTCGGCTCCACAGTTAACACTCTTGGTACCAGCAGTCGGGAAATAAAAAAGCGTATCGCAATGGGAAAGTCTGCCGTTAGGGACCTCTCAAACGTACTCAGGAGCAACAGTGTCTCTCTGGAGACTAAGGTGCACCTGATACAGGTCATGGTATTTGCAATCGCTTGTTATGCATCAGAGAGTTGGACAATGACTAGGGAGGACAGAAGGAGAGTGGATGCTTTTGAGCTGTGGTGCTGGAGAAGGGTACTGAATGTACCCTGGACTGCCAGGAAAACAAACAGATCCATCTTGGAGAGGAGTAAACCAAGCTGCTCCTTGGAGGCAAGGATTCTGGGGCTTCGTCTGACATACTTTGGACATGTTGCCAGGAGGGACGGGTCCTTGGAGAGGGACATCATGCTTGGGAGGGTGGAGGGACAGCGCAGGAGGGGAAGACCCTCTATGAGATGGATTGATTCGGTGACTGGGGTAATCGGGATGGGTGTGTCAGAGGCGGTGCGGTTGGCGCAGAATAGAGCAGGGTTTAGAGCTGTTGTGCATAGGGTCGCTATGAGTCGGAAACGACTCGATGGCACATAACAACAACAACAAGAATTGGGGAAGAAAATATATAAGGGGAATTTTATAGTGGAAGAAAGTTAAAAAGTATTCTAAAAATAAAAGTATTTAGGCATGGTAAAGGAATACAAGTGCTAACCCAAAATCATTTCACTGGTTAAAACTGGAGCAAAATAAACAGAATACGACTAGATTGAACACAAAGTAGAAAATAAACATACATGAATTAATATTACAATTAAATACAAAAAAGTTATAAATTGGAGGCAAATCATTTTTACAAAAGAATTCCACATAATATTTGTAGGTACTTTTCTTTCCAGCAGATGTATATTTGGTTTTGAGAAGACCCAATTGTTGTTTTTTCATGTCACCCATTTCTGTCATTATTGTCTTATTTTTCCCTACCTTCTTGAATATATAACATATTTGTAATTGTACAGGATGAAGCAGGGTTTAGGGCTCTTGTACATAGGGTCGCTATGAGTTGTAAGTAACCAGATGGTACAAAACGACAAACAACAATTGTTTTTCAACATTTCTCTAAAATTCTATCATATATATCATTTCTGAGTCTGTTTATATAGTTTGTTTATTCCTCTTCACCATGAATTGTATTTTCATGCCTATATGCATATCTAATAAACTACAATTGAACAGAAACATTGTAAAACAAATAGTGAGTGTAAATATTGACAATTTTCTACATTTCATTACCAGATTTTTCCGCATTCTTTTAAAGAGTATTAGCATTTGTTCTACTGGGTGCATTTTAACATTTGCAAGACTTACTTTCAAATTTTGTTAGAGTAAGTCCTAGCAATTTTAATAAAGCTCTAGTTTACTCTGTCTGCTA